CCTGTTGCCCAGGAAGGTGGAGAGTTGACAGAGGTGCCAGTGTGAAAATGAAAATACTTGTTAATTTTATGCAGTATCTAACAAGGTTTGTTCTAGCAGCTTACTAAAACAGAACTTTTCGATGAGAACTGAAAAATAATCTTTCAAAATCGAAACCTCTCATTAATTTTGCATTTAATTATTATTTTTTAAATTAGGACCCTAGTCTGAGGCATTGGAGGTTGAAGTTTTATCTCTAAGAAGTTAAAGGTGATGCCAATAATACTGTGGTCTAGTTAAATTCTAAATTCAGTTAAGCATTGGTTTGGTTAAATAAAAGCCTTCAGGACTGATTCCAGGTTGGCGTTGGTGATAATTTGAGAGCTGTACTCATTTTGCTTGAAGTTCATACCTCTCTGTTGCCAACCATAGAGACAAAGTGACTATTGCAACATCAGCTCAGCTTTTCTGAAAGGAAGTATGGACTTCCTTTCAATCAATCTGTATTAGTGAATGCTCTATAATGAATTTATGAAATTTTACTCCCTAGGAATATTTTAGCCTTAATCCATGCATGATGGTTTTATATTAAATCATGAATCTGTAAAGTGTTCAATTGCTGACATTTAGTAAGCTAAATATGACAAAGCAGTGCCAGCGAGGCCACTGGTCTGCCCTGAGAAACCCCTGCCCAATGCTGGGGTTTCCTAATCCCCCACCTCCTAAATACAGAGAGTCTCGCTTCAAATATTTAAGAGCTAGTTGCCTTCTGATGGGCTAACTGACCAACACAACTGATTTAAGAGACTAAACCAGGGAGGTAGCATAATCAGGTCCAGGTAGAAAAAGAACCAATGTGTAAATGGGGAGAAGGAGGATGCTCTCACCCTGTAAGGGACAACGAACCGCTGAGATCCCTCGAGGGAGTGGGCTGCTTTTCTTGGGGGCTGGGCCCGGAAGGCACCTGAGCGGGGGCTCCCCGATGCCACAGCCAGGGAGCCAGCAGTCAGTTCTGTGTCTATCATTGACTCGCCTCACACCCCTACACAAGCCGTGCTTGTGCTCTGTCCCCACCCAGGGTGTGGCCATGAGAAGTCGCCCGTCCACACGTCCCATTGCAGACAGGAGCATCTGCCACGCACAGGCTGTTCTCTCCGTCTTCTACTCTGCTCACCGCCTGTGGCCCGACCCACAGAGGCGTCTGGATCACGTCAGCAGCTCATCATTTAATAACATACATTGCTGTCTGTGTTAGTCATCTCATAGCTGAGTATTCAGGCTCGGAGAGGAATGTTTACTGAAAAAACTGTTCAGTCAGTTGGTGAATTCCTGCCAAAGGCACGTCTCTCCGCGGGTCTGCGGCAGGGTCACTGCTCATGGTGGCTCTCTCTGTCTTGCCTGCCTTTGTCCATTGCAGAAGTACCTGCTGTCTGGCAGAGAGAGCCGTCTCTCGTGGCTGGTTTACAGGACGAGTCTCAGACTTGTGGGAATCAAGCCACGTTTGCCACACGGAGGAGGCACCTTCCCCTGTGAAGCTGATGGCCGGGGACCCGTGCACATGTTGCCACATCGTGTTGATAGTTGGATGGGCACAAAGCAAGGTGAGCAAATAATACCTGGAAGGCCAAAGCACACTCTGCCAGGAAAGAACACTTCAGCAGAACAAAATATGCCTTTCATTAGGTTTGAGTGATAAGAACTACTTGATGAAATAAAATAAGGCTTTATAAACATTTAATATTTAAATAAGGACAGCAGGCAGTGGATTTTCACATTATCATTTGTGTCTGAGCCCATGAGTGGTGAGGTTTTTATAAAGAACAGTCAAAATTCTGCTAGGATGGTGCTGACAGGAGTGTAATTTTATCTGCCCCAAGTATTTCCACCGCAAGGAACAAAATCAGAAGCTTATAAACAAACCCAAACTCATGACACTGTTCCTATGTGCACGTTGGGGGCTGCCAGAGAATAAACACACTTCTCATGTTTCTTTGTTGGAGTAGGTGGAAGTGGGTGATGGTGCTCAGGGCGTGGTCAGGGCCAGGGGTGGATTAGGGAGGCTGTCAGGGTGTCCTGACTCACCCCACTGCATGTCTTGCAACTCGACCTCTGGGAGAGCTTGGCTTTGAACCTGGCTAGCCGCTGACTGCCAGCAGCAGAAGGACATGTGCAGGTACAGGGCAGGCAACCAGCTCAGTCACCACCTCCCTCCCCGTCTTCTCCTCTAGGTTGAAGCTCTGCCCCTCTTAGTCTCCAGCTCACAAATTGTCCTCAGTTTTTCTTTCTCTCTCATCACTTCTCCCTTCATCTCCCCCCATCTCTCCCTCCCTCCTCTGCACTTGTGATCAACTTTCAGCAAATAACTTGTCACCTCTCTGTTAAAACGACTGCTCCACAGCCTTCCTCCACCTCCAGGCACACACATATTCCTCTTCCCCTGCCTTTTGGTATATACATATCCATATTCCTGCCTATACCTGGTACATACCTAACCCTATTCCACTTGTCTCCGGGCATGCACAGCTTTTCCTTTGTTTCGCATGCAGAGGGCTATTTTGTTCTTTGTCTCTATTGACCATGGTCCAGGCATATCAAAATGCCAGGCAAGGCAGCCTGGAGGCTTTACAACCCTTTGTCCTCCATGAAGTCCTCCCAGGTCCACCTATGAGTTCAGTGGAATGGCCCTGGCTTCCCCCTGCACAAGACAAAGTGAGCAGGTGTGAGGTCGGGGCAGAGGAGCCGGGTCCCATCTGTGTGGTCTTGCACAACTTCTTTAAATATTCTAATTTTCTAATCCCTAAATGGAAATAATGACTCCTCAACAGCTCTGTCATGAGGATTAAAAAAGTCAACCACCATCTAATGTGGTTCCACTGTAGAGACTTGGGAAATGTAAGCTCAGTCTCTTCAAGTTTATTCTCTTTCCAGAATATTGTCTCACACCCAAAAATCCTCTCTTGGCTCCTCATGGCTTTCGAAGCAACTTTAACTCACCTGCACTAAGAAAGGCAGGTCAGACATAGATCAATGGAACAGAACATAGAACCAAGAAATAAATCAACATGTCTATAGTGAACTCATTTTCCACACAGTGGGCAAGAATGTACAGCGGGAAAAGGACAGTCTCTTCAATAAATGGTGCTAGGGAAACTGGATATCCGTATGCAGAAGAATGAAACTATCTCTCACCACATACAAAAAGCAAATCTAAATAGGTTAAAACCTTAAATCTAAGACTTGAAATTATGAAACTACTGACTGAAAACACTGGGTAAATGCTCCAGGATATTGGTCTGAGTAAAGATTTCTTGAGTAATGCTCCCAAAGCACAGGTAACCAAAGCAAAATTGGACAAGTGGGATCACAACAAGCTAAAAACTTCTGCATAGCAAAGAAACAATAAACAAAGTGAAGAAATGACCCACAAAATAGGAGAAAATATTTGCAAACTACCCATCTAACAAAGGATAAATAACTAGAATCTATAAAGAGCTCCAACAACTCAGCTGCAAAAAATCCAAATCATTTGATTTAAAAATGGGCAAAAGATCTGAACAGACATTTCTCAAAAGAAGACATACAATGGCCAACAGGTATATGAAAAAATGTAAACATCATTAGTCATCAGAGAAATGTAAATCAAAACTACAATGAGATATCATCACCTCACCCCAGTCAAAATGTTTTTTATGAAAAAGACAGGCAATAATGAATGCTGATGAGGATGTGGAGAAAGGAGAACCCTCATACACTGTTGGTGGGATGTAAATTAGTGCAACCATGACAGAGTATGGAAGTTCCTCAAAAAACTACAAATAGAACTATCCAGCAATCCCACTGCTAGAAATATATCTAAAACAAAGGAAATCAGTATATGGAAAAGATATCTACACTCCCATGTTTACTGCAGCATTATTCACAATAGCCAATATTTGGAAGAAGCCTAAGTGTCCATCAATGGATGAATAGATAAAAAATATGTGGTACATATACACAATGAAATATTATTTAGCCCTAAGAAGAATGAAATCCTGCCATTTGCAACAACATGGATGGAACTGGAGAACATAATGGTAAGTGAAATAAGCCAAGCACAGAAAGACAAATCTTGCATGTTCTCACTCACATATGGGAGCCGAATATTAAAACAATTGATCTCATAGGGACAGAAAGCAGAACAATGGTTACCAGGAGCTGGGAAGGGTATCAGGGAGCAGGAGATAAAGTGTGGATGGTCAATGGGTGGGAAAATATAGACAGACAGAATGAATGATATTTGCTAGCACAACAAAGTGACTATAATCAACAATAAGTTATGGCACACTTTAACTAAAAGAATGATATTGGAATGTTCATAATACAAATAAATGATAAATGCTTGAGGTCATGGATACCCTGATTACTCAGATTTGATTATTACACACTGTACGCCTGTATCAAAACACATGTACCATATAAATATATGCAACTATTATGTACCCACAAGAAATAAAAATTTAAAAAAATAAAAGAAAGGCAGGTCAGGGGCCTATGATCAGGTGTTGGCTGAAATAAACAGTAAGTTCTCCCTGCAGCCTTGCGCTTTCCCAGGAAGACATTTCATTAGTAGGGGGGTGGGGAATGGAAAACCGTGGGCCCTGCTGCTAGAGGTCCTGCTAGAGAGTTTGGTCATCTTTTAGCGCGGAGGTTTAGGTCGAGTCTTTACGTGCAGAAAGTTCTGCAGTTCTCACAGCGACCTGCCAGGAATGTCTTAGTCTTCCACTCTGCAATCCACCTCCCGGTCCAGGCGTGCCCTTGCTCAGCAACTAAGAGCGCGGCGTCGGCCAGCAGGGGCAGTGCGCCGCGGGCGGGCGGAGGGTACGTCGCGCAGATGACTGTGGCTGTGGTAGGAGGGAGGAAACGTAAAGCGACAGCGACCGCCCCAGGTCACTGGCCGGGTAGCCCGCTTCCTGTGGGCGTCGTGCCTCCAGGGACGCCGAGCACGCGGCCAATCTCTGCCTCGCTCCCCTCCCCCTCCCCCGTCGCCGCGCAGCCTCCGCGCCGCCTTCAGGCGCGCCCCTCGGCGTACCGGCCGTCACTCTGGCGGGGAAAGGGCGAAGAGGGCCAGTGGCCCAGCCGACCTTGGCTCCTCCCGCCCGCCCGGAGCCTTAAGCGCCGCCTCGCCTTCCCAGGCCCTAGTCCCTGCCGGGTTTGTGCTAGGCCCGCGCGCGCCTCGCTCGGCCATGGGCAGCGCCGGCTCCTCGCCGCTGGTCCGCCTGGGCCTCCCCGCGCAGCCCCGGCCGGGCTGGCTCGGGGTCGCCGCGCTGGGTCTGGCCGTGGGGGCGCTGGGGGCCGTCGCCTGGCGCCGTGGGTGGCCCAGGCGGCGCCGGCGGCTGCAGCAGGTGGGCACCGTGGCGCAGCTCTGGATCTACCCGGTCAAGTCCTGCAAGGGGGTGCCGGTGAGCACGGCGGAGTGCACCGCCATGGGGCTGCGCAGCGGCCACCTGCGGGACAGGTACGGCCGAGCCGGGGCGCACCAGACAGCGCGAGGCCTGCCAGGGATGAGGAGGGGCGAGGAAGTGGCGCTTGCTCTATCTGGGGAAGGCTAATAGAGGTTTGCCGTCAGTTTCCTGGGCTGACTGTTGGACTTTCGATCCATTCGCTGGGAAGGTCAAGTTCATGTCTTATTTATTTTTGGTAAAGTAAGTAAGGGTAGTTCCCTACCCCTGTCTGGATGAGAGATTCTTTCTTTTAACAGGAGGGGTTATGGTTATGGCCAAGGCTCCTGCTAGCTCTAAAGTTTCTGATTCTATCTTAGTATATAATACAGTAGTAGAAAAATATTAATAACATGCTACTGGCACCAGAGGGAGCAACAGCAGCACCCACGTGAGGGGTGGGGAATCTTTTCATGTTGGCAGGTTGCATTAATTTAGCCGTAATCAAATAAGGCCACATTCAAGAAACTTCTATTAGATATACTTAGAAATGCATATTATTTTGTAAAAATCTAACTAGTATGTACTTAATAATTTCAAAAAATGGAAACTTTGTTAATTTTAAAGTTAACCTTTTAATGACTTTGTTGTGTCTGCTTTTTGTCAGAAAGCATTTGAATATTTGGTTGCAGCATGGAGGTCTGCAGTTCCAGTTGATCCTCTAGATGGCATCAGTCATTTGTGGCCTTACGGGCATCTTGATTTGGTTAGATAGGAGAATGTAGATTGGCAGTAGTAGTGGTTGACAAGCAAGAAAGCATTTGGGGGGGGTGCATGTTGCTGAAGGCTTGGGTATTCTGCATTTTTCCACATTTCAATTGGATCATTCTTAGCATCAAACAATGACTTTAAAATGTCATCTACTAAGAGCTCAGTCAATTCTAACTGTAGTGCTTTAGGTGCCTTGGTGATACAGCTAGGTGAGGCTGAAATGCTAATCTGAGTGTGACTCTTGATTCTTGAAGTCAGTGAAACTTTCATTGTGTTCTACAATTAATAGGTCTATAACATCTGCGTATTCTTCACATTATTTGCATATATTATCCTGCTCATCAACGAGCTTTGCTAACTAGTGGAAACATTCATCCAAAATTTCCCTTTGAAAAAGTGTTTTGAAAGAAGATAGCTTTCTTAGAAATGTTTGGCTTTTTTGCCACGTATCATATATAGACTTAGTTTTACCTTGCAAAGAAATATTGAAGTCATTTTGATTTGACATGATATCACACAGAAATGCTGCATTCCCCTTTTTTCAATAATTCACATTACAGATTCTGTTCTTCATAAAATTCAACTATCTGTTCTTGCAGAGATAAAATTGTGACTAATACCTGTCCCTGCAATAGCCAACACACTTAAGAATGATAGGGCAAATCCACACTGAGTACCTTATGGTTCAATTTTAGCATGTTACAAAACTGACCCTGCCGTTATGCATTTGCATAAATATAGTTAACAATACTTACAACTTGTTGCAAAGTGTCACTTAAAATACTAGCATTAGCACAGAGATTTTGTTGATGCAAGATAAAATGGAATGAAATGAGAGCATCTGGATCTGTTAATACATTTTTTTTATTTGTGCAATAAATCCTTCATGTTTTCCTGTCATGGAAGGTGTACTGTCTGTACATACACTCACTAAATGTACCAAATTGAGTCCAACTTCATGACATTTATCTTGAAAGTTGTTGAAGATATCTATTCCCTGTGTTCTGTTTGCAAGAACACCCAAAGTGAGTAACTCTTTGTAGCAAAGAAAATCTTCTGTTGTGACTTGAATGAAGTATAAAACTTGCGCTGAGTCAGTACTATCAGTTGAGTTATCCAAAGTGATTGAATAACATATACCTTCTTTTGAAGTATTACATGAAGTTGTTCTGTTAAGTTGAAAACTAATTCATGCTGCTGATCAGTTCTGGTTCTCCTTGAAAGAGGCAGTTGTTTGTACTTTGAAATGTTTTATAGGGGTCTAAGCATCCTTTGACAATGCATTCTTTCACGATTTCTACATCATTGAATGGCTTTCCTTTTCCCCCTGAGTATATAAGCTACTTTATAAGTTGCCTCAGTGGCATTATTTCTAGGTCTTATTTCTGCTTGAAAGAATTGTCTTTGCTTTTTATTCAGTGCTTAATATGCAGCAGACCCTGAGCTAAATCTTGTCCTGTAGGTTAGTTTATTTAAGCCTCATAACAATCTAGTGGGCTAGATATTATTATCTCCATTTTGCGAATAAGGAACAGTATCAGAACAGTTGATTATCTCACCCAAGATCTCAAAACCAATGCGTGCTGGGGGAATTTGAACTCAGATCTGTGTGCATGCAGCACTTAGGCTGTTCAATATAGAAGTATATCAATATAGAAGTATAAGGATTGCACCAGGGATTAGGAGACCTTGGGCATAGTCTCTGCTCCTCAGTTTTCTCATTTGCAAAAAAAAGGTTGAACTTGATGGTCTTTAAAGCTCCATCTTACCTAGCTTTTATTTATCAAAGGATAACTGAAAATGGGAAAGCAAGCTTACTGGGAAAAACTCTGTTTAACAGCTGCCGTTCTCTCATAGTGACAAGTATCCCTAGAATGCAGGGGAAGACCTTGTTTATATGATTCCATTCTGAACCTGTGTCTTTGGAACTGTTAGAAGCTTGGATTTTCCTCTGTAAGTGCTCTGTGCCCTCAAATTTCTAGAGGTATTTTGTTCAGAGCTTAGTATGCTTGTGAATTCTTGGTTTGAGCATCCTCAGCCTGGAGGTGTTTGAAGTCTGCCCAGAAGAATGCTGGCACTGGCTGTCTGGAGCAGACACCGGGTACAGACGTCTGCCCTGACCCTGTAAACCACTGCCCTCCTTACAGCCTATATGACTTGATTGTTTATATCTGTCTAAACCCCTTTGGAAGCCAGCCCTTTATTTCTTCTGCCCAGATGAACTCTTGGAGAGAGGATGCTTCTAAGTTTATTACTCAGTGTGTCATTCCCTGAGTGATTCCTGCTGTCTTTCTCTTCCCAGGGTTCCTGCTTTCCCTCACCTTCAGGCTCACTGCTGCTCCCAAGGCCAGTTTGCAAACCAGAAATGAGATTTATCAGTTGTTTTGGGGGCAACCTCTCTGTTGCTATTGGTCATTCAGGCCATAGTACCCTTTTGGGGAATCAGAGTTCTGGGCTCCTACACTGATCCCAGTATCACATACTCATGCTTTACCTATAACATCAAGGTGCTGGTGTTTATTATCACAGACTAAGTGGGGTAACTTGATCATGACAAAATTCACACTCCAGACTTAATCTTTGCTTTGTTTCTGGCAGAATAAAGCTAATTATTCATTCACTGGGCATTACTTGTGTGCAAGAAATGAAAAATATTAAATACCCAGATTGACAGGGTTATTAAATGGTTGGAGTACATTACAAATGGCAACCTTTTTTACCTTTGATCATTGTCCTGTTCCAATGTTGGACTCTATGCAAATTGCCACTTGCCTTTTTAATTGCAGCAAGGAGCAGGAAACCTCTAGCCACCATTTCTTGCTATTAACCCCAGAAGTTAGCTCCTATGTTATTGTACAATGGGCTGGAGCCAAGAGTGGGGCCATGAGCCACAATAAAGGGTAAATGTTTTAAGGGATGAATGACAGATGAGAAGACAGCCCAGAGAAGGGCTGTCAGAAGTGATGTGCAAACAGGGGTGTCACTCCTATTTGCACTTGAGTCTGATTGTGTGCATTTCTTAGAGGGAGTCTTGTGTGGGGATGGGGCATGTTGGAATTTACGGACACAAGCTTTGGTGAGGCTAACCAAAGAACTCTGCACCTAGGAACAAGGCAGGAATGGGGAATAGGGCCCAGCCCCAAAGGAATGAGGCTATAATGAAATCAGCAGGAATCCTCTGATTTGCAGAACACACCACAAGAATGAGAGAATCAGAGAACCCTGGGATTCAGATGATGCAGAGGGTGTCCAAATGAAGCTAGGAAAACCCCCTGAACTCACTAAGTGGGTTCTTGGCTTCTAACAGGAATGAATTCTAGAGCGAGCCAACTAGCTACAAGAAGGCTTTATTGAGACAGAGACAGACAGCAGACTCTACTCCACAGAGCAGGCCTTTCCTAAGCAGGAGGGGCACTGCTCATGGGGCAATGGTAATATTTTTAAAGGTTCAAAAACCCTGTTGGGAAACAGTTGTTCATGGCCATCATTGTCTTGAGGTCAGGCTATAAAGGTTAATCGTAAAAGTCACAGAAAGGTAAGCACAGACAGTTTGCAAGGCATCTAGCTCAGTGATTCATCCACCTTCAAGTGGTTTGGGCTGGCGACTTGTTGGTGATTTCCTTGTTCAGGGTGGTCAGGGTCTGGTATCAGCCAAAACAGCTGCACTTACGCTCTCTCAACCTTCTTTTTCTGCCTTATCCATACGTTACAAAGACATCTAGGAAGACAAAGGAGGCCTCCTCAGAGGGCTGGGGACTTGCTGCTGCCCATCAGTTCTTGGGAAGGGAGTAGCCAAGACAATTCCTAAAATGGCTTTGCACTGCCACACCATTACACATGCCAGGTAGCAGAGCACAGGCTGCCAGCCATCGTCTGCTGGCTTGGTTGCAGGGAAGGGCAGTTTAGGCAGCACCTGGAAGGGACTCTACTGATAGGGAGGTTCCAGATGTGAGACTGTCTGCCAGGGTTAGGGAAGGACAGAGACGGGGCTCCCTGCACTCCACTGCTAGATGTCCTCATAAGGTTACCTCAGACCTTCCCGGCTGGCTCGAGTCATATTTTGGAATGTCCTCCTGGGAGGAGCTGCCCCTCATTCCCGAAGGGGCTGTGCTGCTTATCCTGCTCACATTTGCAAAGCCTCTGGCTTTCAGGTGCTGCCCACTGATGAACGCCCACAGAGCACCTCACATTCTCTACTTGTCTGCAGAGTCTATGTTCTTTCTAAAATAATGATATTGAAATTTATTTTCCCTAGAAGTGCAACACTTATTTTTAGCAACCCAAACATTTGTGCGGTGCAACCCAAACTTATGTGAGGTTGTAGATTAAAGCCTAAATGATGAGGCATGACTAGCTCCCCTGAACTCGTCAGCTCAAGTGTAAAAACCGAGGCTAGCACAGTGGGCTCTTTGGAGATAAGTGAAGTTTTTATCTAACACGTGACTTTCGTGACTCTTTGTTCTCTATGTCAGCATGTGTGCTTGAAGAAGGAAGGCTGCCAGGAAATTTCACATGCCCCAGCAAGGTAAACAGAATAGAAGCCAGCTGGGGTTCTCTTGGAGTCAGCAACACTGCAAGACCTTTGTCTAAGGATCTGGTTCTCTCAGGCCAGCAGTTTTGGACAACTGCATCTTGTTCTACAACAAAAACCTGGAAGATATTTTGCTTCTCCCAGGGCCTCAGAGACATATTTAACAGGCCTGGGGAAGCTTCTGACCAAAACAGAGTCCCCCACTGAGCAACATGGTTGGCTAAACAGTGAAGGAAGGTTCCTGAACCAGCCTCATTTTCTGGTTTTTGAAACTGGAGATTTTCCTATGTTGGCCAGAGTCTCTCACCTGGGACTGTTTCTGCTAAATTAGCTCTTTTTGGGGTCCCCAACTTTTAGATTCAAAGAATTTGGCCAGACCTGGATAATTGTCTAGAAAGTAATTATTGAGTCCCAACTTGGGGTGGGTAGAGAGTTTTGAGGAAATAGAAATATAGAGGGAAGCTATTGAGAGATGGAAGAGGATTTTCTGAGTGTGCCCTTGTTTGTTTCTCTGCAGGTTTTGGCTGGTGATTAAGGAAGATGGACACATGGTCACAGCCCGGCAGGAGCCGCGCCTCGTGCTGGTCTCCATCACATACGAGAACAACCACCTGATGCTGAGGGCTCCGGGGGTGGACCAGCTGGTTTTGCCTAGCAAGCTGCCTTCCTCAAACCCACTCCACGACTGCAGGTGTTCTGCTTGCGGGCATCTGGGGAACTGCAACAGACCTGATGTTAACAGGCTCCTCTCTGTGTTCTGTCTTGCTACAGTTTGTACAGTAGATGATGAAACTGGTAAAGGAAATATTTAAGAGCAGTATAGTTTGGATTGGGATCAGGATGGTGCTCAGGTATGAGTGGATGGTGCAGAGTATTGTTGTAAGTGGACCCAGGATTTGTTTTAATTGGATATGGGAAGACACAGAGACACAGAAATGACTGTCATGAAGAAACTGTTCATACTGACAGATCTCTAGAACTGGAGGCTTGGCACGCCACACAGGGCCACATAGGGAAGTGCCAAGGTTGATCAGGAGGCAGAGGAAACAAAGGGAAAATGTGGGTGGGAGCCTTTACTGTGGTTTCACCAGGACAGGAAAAGCAAGGCAGGGGAGGCAGGCTTAGGATCAGCCAGTGTGAATAATTTCAGCAGGCTCTGCAGCACAGGGCTTATCCCTAGTTGTCTAGCACCTGGCCCTCGGGTGATTAGGGCAGGGGTCTAGTGACCCAGCATGTGAGCACTCAATAAGGGAGGCGGTTGGGGGTGTGGGCTCAGAATGGGATGGTGTCCATATGAAAGGTGTGCTTGCAGACCATCGGTGTGCTATTTCTAGGAATTGGCTGGCCCTGGGAGGAGCAGTCCTGTCAGTGTCAGCAAGACCCCAAGATACCAAAGCATCAAAAATGCAGAAAATAGAAAGCATGACTAATACAAGTATGAAGGAGGCACAACGTGTCAATCTTTAGGGCTTGTCTCCTTTCATTCAGGGCCGAGGACCTGTTTTCAGCATTGTCAGTGGTCTAACCAGGCAGGTCAGATAGTTAGTGGAGACTTTAGCGACTGTGTCCCAGGGCTGGTTGATAAGGGTGCTGTAGCTTTTCAGTGTGACTCTGCAGCCTCTGAAGTCTGTGGTTGCGACTAAGGCACATTCAACAGGAGTTGGGTGGGAGGGCCGGAGACATACTGCAGACCTTCGCTTCCTTTTGGTCTAGGCGACCCTTGCTGAGTTGTCAAGCTCCATGGCTTGCTGGGGTCTTGCACTTTGATATTAGGAAGTCCTAGAGACTTAGGTGCTTATCACGGGATGATCTGGATCTCCTTGTAACCAATTGAGCTTTTTGAGCATGTGGAAGTCAGTGTTGTGCAAAGGTCCAGGACTCAGAAGAGTGACTCATGTTATTCTCTGAGCCCTCATCTTATGCTTTTGCAAGCAAAGTGTCTGAGCTGAACTCTACCACTCATAGTACCCATTTTTCAAAAGTCTGAGCAACTAATTCACTAAATACAATACTAAATATGAGGCAGATATCATTAATTCCACTTGACAGATGAGGAAACCAAGACTTAGGTCACTGTCAAGCAAAGGTGGAGCTGGGATTTGAAGCTACCTGACTCCTAGCCTTTTGCTTTTAACACTTATGTGCAGGGAGAGGAAAAGCTTCCACACAAATGACAGGTTCTGAGGACATAAATCCATTGAAGAGGAAAGCTGTAGCCATCTCAGTTTGATTCAAGGACATTCATATCTTATGGGTAAATGCTTAGTTGACCTGTTTCAAGGGAAGGGTATGGATATTGCTCTGCAAACTCGCTTTGTCACTGACAGTGAGTGAGTTTTACCCTTAAAGATTCTCCCTTTGCTAAATAGGCAGAATTCTAGATAGGCACTAACCTCCTTGGATTGAAAGAGGGAAAGAGGAGGAGCATGTGGAGGTGTCCTGTCAAAGACACCAAGTGAAGCCTGTTCTTGTATAATTCTGTTCCACACATCAATTGTATTTCTGGATGAGATAGGAATAGAGAGCCTGGAACCCTGGTAGTTTGGTGAAACAACCGCTGAGAGCTATGCATTTGTATTGATAGAAGGGCAATCAACACACTGCCTCTCCAGCTAGTTAGACATGCTGTAACTAGGTTAGCCTGTATTTTTTTTTTTTTTTTTTTTTTTGAGACAGAGTCTTACTTTGTCACCCAGGCTAGAGTGAGTGTCATGGCATTAGCCTAGCTCACAGCAACCTCAGACTCCTGGGCTCAAGTGATCCTCCTGCCTTGGCCTCCCAGAGAGCTAGGATTACAGGTGTGAGCCACCGCGCCCAGCCTAGGTTAGCCTGTATTTACAAGCTATTTTTAATGGATTTGTTGCTATGACAACTGCTAGCAACTGAAGGAAAAAAATGATATAAAGTAGATGGCATTTTAGTCAGCTCTGGCTGTTATAACATCAAGGGGCTGGTAGATTCAGTGCCTGGTGATGGCCCTCTTCCTGGGTTGCAGATGGCCACTTCTCATTATGTCCTTACATGACCTTTCCTTGGCACCTGCGTGGAGGGACACACAGAGAGAGAGAGAGAGCGCGCAACCGTGCAAGCTCTAGTGTCTCTTCCTTTTCTCACAAGGACACCAATCCCATCATGAGTGCTCCACTTCATCTAAACCTGTTCACCTCACAATGGCTCCACCTCCAAATACCATAACATTGTGGGTTAAGGTATCCACAAATGAATTTTGGGGAGACACAAACATTCAGCCCATACCAGATGGTAAGTGACAAACAGAGTGATTATTATGGCCAACTCACCAGAACTGACAATAAAAAAATAAACTAACAACCTCAAGTTGGAAAAAAAACTAAAGGAAGTTCCTTTATCAGTTTATTATAAAGGATGACTAGTCAGATGGAAGAGGTGGATGGGGCAAGGTGCAGGGAAGGGGCATGTGTTACAGGCCACAGCCATTTGGACAAGGCTGAAATGTCATAGATTTTATTTTATTTTATTCTGTTTTTTAATTTTCATTGTTACTTTTTGCCCGTTCACCCTGTGTGGTAAGATTTTTTAGAATAATTATAGAACAGTTTGGCTTCTTGATTATCACAGGATTTATGAGTGAATATTATCTAAAAAGGCCAAGCTTATGTTTTAAAGCAGGACAATGTTAAGAAATGACTTCAACTCTGGACAGTCCAACCGAAGTTTTATTTTTTAACTGCAATAATAGTTTCCTTTGTAAAAGAAGAATTACAAGATAAGAAAAAGACAAAGTGTTTTTCCTACTGTCATGCCACCCACCTCTGGACCCAAAATGTGTGGATGTTTCTCCCCACCAACAACCAGTTCTCCAGTGGACGCCAGCTGGGTGTCCTACAATCCAACTCTGACACCATCTACCTGGAGGTAGCCTCAGATCCCACAGGTTTAGGGCTCAGTCCCACAAGACTGCCGCTGCAGATGCTAGTTGCAAGTCCCAGTTTGTGGTCTGTGCTTCTGACCAACTAGCTCTCAATTGGGAGTTCCCAAGACCTCCTCCTCAGGTTCAATTAATTTGCTAGTGTAGCTCACAAAACTCAGGAAAACACTTATTTCCCATTATCAGTTTATTATAAAAGATGAATAGTCAGATGGAAGAGGTAGATGGGGCAAGGTGCAGGGAAGGGGCATGTGTTACAGCCCACCCAGGTTCATAGCCCACTGCTAAAGAGGAAGCCAGTACACTGACTGAGACAGTAGAGGTTACAACAGAGTTTTATTTCACCAGGCACTAGGTGAGGAGATGGGAGTAATTTCTCAAATCCAGCTCCGTGAGAATTAGAGAGAATCCAACTCCGTGAGAATTAGGTTTTTAAAGATAATAAGGAAAGAATGCACACAAGTTACAGTGCTATGGTCAAGATTTATAGAAACAGTGTGACCTGACCTATGTCACCCAAAGTTAGCTGACCAAGAACAAAGAAGTTTTATAACTTCCTCATACCATCGCTGAGGCCCAGATGTCTGTGGTCCTCAGTTACCTCTTGCAATCCCCTTCTTCTTCCCCCTTCCCATAACATAAAAGGACACTAAAGTTCATACTAACATAAGATGGTTCTTTAGGACATGAGTCTGCCATCTTCTCAGTTTGCTGGCTTTCCAAACAAAAACCACTTTTCTTGCCCCAACACCTTGTCTCTCTACTTACTGGCCGTCCTGTGGCAAGTGGTACGAGCTTGCACTCGGTTACCGATGTCCACACAAACTGTAACCTACTCTTGGACCAATCACAGAGCTTCATCCAATCATAGGCCATATTCATCGATAGCATTATAAACTGTATGCATTCTTTCCTTATCTCCCTGGGAGTTATTTTTGGGAAAGGGATGGTTACCATCTTTCTTCTAGAGTTGAACTACAAACTAAATTCTTCCTGTAATTAGCTTGCCTGTGTGCAGAGCTAAGTTAAAGCTAAGCTTTTAACCTAAAGGCTATTATTGCAGAGGGTCAGAAGCAAAATGGAGGTAGCTATGAAGCCTCCTTTCCACTGTCACGCATCTAGTTACATTATATTACAGTTCACTATGTGTGGAAAACCTTTAGGCTAAACTTAATTTAACAATTGTATTTCTAAGATTCATCTATTTGTTGTGTGTATCTAGTACCTATATAGCTATAATTCACTTTTGTTTTGTTTTGTTTGAGACAGGGTCTCACTTTGTCACCCAGGCTGGAGTGCAGTGGCATGATCATAGCTCACAGCAACCTCAGACTCCTGGGCTCAAGCGATCGTCTTGCCTCAGCCTCCTGAGTAGTTGAAACTATAGGCATGAGCCACCACGCCTGGCTAATTTTTCTATTTTTTGTAGAGATGGGTTCTTACTCCTGCTCAGGCTGGTCTCAGGCTACTAGCTTCAAGCAATCCTCCTGCTTTGGCCTCTCAAAGTGCTAGCATTATACACATGAGCGACCACACCTGGCTTATAGTTCACTTTTTCACTGCTGTTTCTGTTGTGTGAACTTGGTGCATTTTACTTATTCATTCTCTTGTCCATGATATTGTTACCAAAAGTTCCACACTTGTGCCTGAGGCTGCATCAAAAGAGTGAGGACAAGTTGTTTGAGGAGAAGGAAAGGGAGGTTTATTAATTTACTGGCAAAAGAGGAGGTTGGAGACTGTTGTTTTAAAGTGACATTGTCCTTCCTGTATGCAGAAATACAGGG